GAGGAGGGAGCAGGACGAAATTCACCCTCAGCCTGGTGTGCAGACTGTTATTGGGGGAGCACTGGATAATTAGGCCAAATAGAAGGCAGGCTTACAAGTGAGCTTCCTAGGTGCAGCAGGAGGGGTGCGGCTTTGTTCTTCTTCAATAAGACCCAGGGCGTAATGCTAATTGTTACTTTAGGTGTGTGGAGTGGAGACTATTTGCAAAGCAGGAGGGGAGTTCGTGGGCTGCAGCTAAGAGGGCATAATGAGTGTGGAAAGAGGAAAAGCTTCGGGTCCCTTAACCCAAAGCTCAGTTAAGACATCAAGTACATTCCCTGCAAATTGGCACTTTCAGCTCTAGCCTCCATGCTTTTGTTGTGCAGTCAAGGTAATGATCACCCGTGCTGTGAGAAAGGCACACGGGCTGGCAGAAACCACTCACAGCACAAAGCATTCTTTGGTTAAAAAAAAAATTATAAAATAAAAAAGAAAGCTGTTTAAGCTTAAAAACTAAAAAAGAAGTGGTTGGCTCCAGTTGTCGACATGTTTTATAAAGCAACAGCAAAATGAAAAAAATAAAAAGTAAACTGTCCCAGAGAACTGAGAGAGGGCCAAAAATATTAATACATGGGAACATGGCGAACCTTCTGCAAGCTGTAAATATTTTCTTAGTTTCCCACGTGTAGTCAGCAAGTACGGCAGTTCTTTTTCTCTCTCCGCTCTTCCTGTTGGAAATCTATGTGGAATAACAATTTTGCCAGGAAAAAAAAATTAGATTGAAGAAATTGTGTCTGCCAGGGGCTCATGAATTGGTTTCATGTATCAGAGAGAGGGGGTTTCAACCCCCAGAGTGAGAGAAAAGGAGGAGGATATACAAAACAAAGAAAAACAGACCACCAGAGCTCAAAAATAAAAATAGAGTTTGATGTATGTGAATGTCTTAACTTGCTGAGCATGGGACATGGACCAGTGAAGAAAATCACTGAGGGCGGGGGCAGCACCAAAGGTTCGAGATGCCCAGCTCGATTTGAATTTCAGATAAGTGAGTGATTCCTTAGTAAACGTACAGTACACCCCCATGCAACTTGAGTTTAACTGGGCATCCTGTATTTTTATTTGCTGAATTTGGCCACACCACCAAGTGGGAAAGGTATTTCAGTGGTAGGAAGAGGAGCTCCCAGTGGTTCTGCTAATGAAGGATTGCTAATGCACATCCTGACTGGACAGAGTGAGCTTGTGGGTCTGTTCATAGTTGGTTGAAACAAGAAAGGAACCTCAGGGGTGACCCAGGAGATGGGCGCCTCAGGATCTCTAAGTCTGTGTGTCAGCTGCAGTGACACACAGCAGGTACCGACATGACCCCACCCATGCTGCCATAAGAGGAAACTTTGCCTTCTACAGACACCACCTCGGAAAAACCTGGTCCTGCGCTGCTTCCTCAACCCTCACTTACTGCGTAGATTCACAGCCACACTTCAGCCTTGAAAGTCACCCCAGGAGAAAAAGGTATCTTCCCTAGTTACCAGAGAGAGGAAGACCTAGAAATGTTGGCTCTCCGTCTTCCCCAGGAGTTCTACCCCTAGGAAGGAAGAAAGGCTGCCCTCTGAGGCCAGGGTTCCTCACTGAGCCAATTCTCCTTTCTGCAAAATGGTCACAGAGTCCTCTGCAAGGGGTTGCTGTGACCATCGGTATGAGACCGCTCTCACATTGCTGCAAAGAAATACCCGAGGCTGGGTAATTTATAAAGAAAAGAGGTTTCATTGGCTCACAGTTCTGCAGGCTGTACAAGAAGCATAATGTTGGCATCTGCTTGGCTTCTGGGGAGGCCTCGGGAAGCTGCAATCACAGCAGAAGGCCAAGGGGAAGTAGGTGCATCGCAGACCAGAGCAGGAGTGAGGGCATGGGGAAGGGGCCACACACTTATAAACAACCGGGTGTCACAAGAACTCACTCATGATCGCAATGACAGTACCCAGGGGATGGTGCTACTCAGAGGATGAGGCAAACCCAAGACCTGAGCCTACATCAGATCCCAAAACCCATTCATGAGAAATTCACCCCATGATCCAATGACCTCCCATCAGGCCCCACCTCCAACACTGGGGATTAGAATTCAACATGAGATTTGTAGGGAGCATAGACCCAGACCATATCACCATCAAATAGAGCATGCAGGGAAGTGCTCCACAGGAGCTGGAAAATGCTGGTGCCCTGAGGGTGACCAGGACAGCCTCAGCCTCAGAGCAGAGCCCAGAGGGGCAGTCCCTGGTGTGTACAGCTCTGGGTCTTCCCTCACCTCTTGAGAAAGAGGGCACCCAGCCTTCCCAGGGGACAGCCTCCATCCACCAGCCATCCACAGCTTCTCCTTCAACACTGACATCCTCAAAAAGCAAACCCCTATTCCACCCAAAGCCACATTTCCGTCTCCCCACACCTTCAAGTGTCTTAGGTTGAGGGACCTGCCTGACCCTGACGACAAATATGATGAATCAGGAGTGGAGCCCACCATTGTTTAGGAGCCCCGCTGTCAGGCTCCTGAAAAGCTCTCAGAAGTATAGCCATGATCCGCTTTTCCAAATGAGGAAATGGGGACTCAGAGTTGTTACGCAATGTGCCCAACATCATTGAGATGACACATGGCAAACCCGAGACCTGAGCCTACGTCGGATCCCAAAACCCGGGCGCTTTTCCAGTACTCTACCCATTTCCAGTCCTGGACCAAGGCTACCCTGTGCAGATATTGCCAAGGATAATGGAGAAGACTGGTGAACTTGTATTCATCCTTGAAAACCCAACTCACTCATCGCCTTCTCCATCCTTTTCTGTCTCATCCAGGGCTGGCTCTGAATCACATGTGCCCTACCCTATTGTCATTTCATATAAAAGGCTGCGTTGTCATGTAGTTGCATTCACATCCGTTTCCCTGCTAGACTGAACTCCTAGGAGACGAAGACTACCTGAACCTCCGTTTCTGTACCCATTCCACTTCCACGGAACCTTCCAGCTGTACCGCCGCCTTTGCATTCTTCCAACACCCCGTGTTGATCCTGCCTTGGGAACTATCCCCCACACTACATGCTCCGTGGGAAATTCTTCTGATCTTCCACAGCAGATCTGGGCCCACATATCTCCTCCTCAGACAAACCTGCCCTGACCACCTGTTTAACATAGTCCCACAGCCCCTCTCCCATCTCTATCCCCGGCCTCATGCCCTGGTGTGAATCTTTCTCTAGCGCGTCATGCCTCTTTCCCTGGCACCATGTCACACGTGCATTTGTTTCCTGGCTTCATTATCTGTCTTCCCACTCAACGTGTCAGCTCCAGGGAAGCAGGGATCTTGCAGGTCTGACTCCCTCCAGGCACCAGACACATCAAAATCTCTCAACACACATCCATAGGATGAAGGAACCCTCCGTGACTGGCATATATAGATGCTCGGTTAATGAATTTAGTCTTAATTAATCATCTTAACAGAAATGTCTCAAAACCTCCTGAGGGTGGAAGCAGAATTTGTTCTTACTACGTAATGGATCTTTCTTCCTAGCCATCCACTTATTTCTCCCCAGAATATCTTCCGCTCTGTTGTAGGAATGGTGACCTTGGAGAACAGTCCAGGAAGAAACCTGCAGCTTCCTGCCTGGAGATCTGTCCACCCTCTTCTAGCCCACTGGCTTGCAGTTGGCTCAGCCATGGGCCTGGGGTGTTATATATTCATTAATTAATCAAATCAGCTCCAGTGCCAGCCTCTGCTTGCCCCCTCACTAATCCAGCTGAGGGACAGTTGGGACCACCCCAATACCGGGCGGGGGCAGGCATTTCCAACAGCCAAGAAAAGCACCATGTGCTATGAAAGGAAAAAACACCAGCTGAGCTCCCCTCAAAACACTGCACAAAAGAACAAATCTGTAAGGGAGGAGGCCATGGAGACGGACCAGGGAGAGTCTCAGATACCCAACTGCTGGATCCACACACACTGGTGTCCTCCCAGGGCACTGCCCTGGTAATTATCTGGGAAGCTCAGCTGAGTCATGCTCCCTACTTTCTCAGTCCCCCCAGGCAGGCTCTGCACACATGCTCATCTCATGGCTGCTCAACCAGAAAAATGACCCCCTACCTCGTGTAGATGATCCCCTTGCTGTTGTCTCAGACCCATTTTCCAGCTCTAGCTCCACAACAGTGGTGATATGGTGGAAACCTAGGAGGTCAATGAGTCAATCAACAAACACTGACTGAGCACCCCAGCCATAGACAGGGAAAGGTGATAGGCAGGGAAAAAGAGAGTGTAGGGTGGTGGGGTCCGGAGGTAACATTGTCCGTGGATTTCATTTAGGGATTGTTACAAAGAGTGGATGCCAACCAAAATGCACATTTTCTCCAAAGACATGTGCGGTAATATTCACAGCAGCACTTTAGTGGTGGACAAAAACACAGTGCTCATCAGCAGCAGAATGGAATTCTATTCAGGAGCAGAAATGAGCGCTAGGGACACTCACAGCAGTGGGGATGGTCTCTCAACCACGACACTGGGCAAAGGCAGCCAGGCACAAAGGAACATCTGGATAGTTCCACACACACAAAGTTCAACTCACGGCAAAGCTAGTCTTTGCAGAGGGAAGTCAATGAGATCCAGGGAGGAGCGGTGACCCTGGGGGCCGCCGGGGGAGGCTGGCTATGCTTTGTTTTCTAACCTCCAGGTGGTGGTTACAGGCGAGCCTTCCCTTTGACATACTTCATTAAGTCTGTACACTGGAGTTTGTCCACTTGTAGGTGTGCATACTTCCACTACGGATTTAAATTTTAAAAGGGGGTTGGGGTGTTAGGTCTGGAGGTTTCCCGAGGTTTTCTGCAGAGGAGCCAATGGGCTGAGAGGTGGACGAAGGACCCAGGCCGTGAGCGAAGGATGGAGAAAGCCCCGACCGTAGCGATGCCGCGAAAGTACAGCGACCCCACCCTCACCAGGTGCGGCGCCATCTCCGCTCCGAGTCCTGCGTTGCCTGGCAACCGGTCTCCCCGGAGACGTGAGACGCTGAGCCCAGGGCCTTTTGCGGGGCGCTCCGAGTCCCCAGGCCCCATGGCGCAGAAACCGCTCAGCACCGCGGCGGCTGAACGCATGAACCTTGTGGCTCAGGATGAGATCTGGTAACGCCTGGGATCCCACAACGCGGTGGGCTTCTGTTCCCACCTGAAGTGTGCACACCTGGCGGTCTCAGTTTCCCCACCAAATCCAGGGGGTGGTCGACCACTAAGCTCGAGGGGCGAGGGGCGAGGGGCGTGAGCTGAGGATGGTCAGGGGCCTTGAGAAAAGGGGGCAACGTTAGGGACATGAGAGCGACAGGAGAGCCTTTCTCCCTCTCCCTCCCCCTCTCCTGTTAGGCCCACCACAGGAAGACGTGAGAGATTGGCTTTCAAGAATCAGCACAGATTTGCTTGTCGAAATCCTACTAACATGTTCATGTTTTTTGTTTTCTTTTTTTTTTCTTCAAACCTCAGCATCCAGCCAGAACATCTTCATATTTTTAAGACTGATGGAATTTTTTTAAAATCTTAATATTTGTTCAATTTGAATGAAATACACGAAAATCTCTTGATTTTCCTGGGTTTTGAGTATATATTTTAACTTTAAAGATAGATCCATTTTCTAAAAGATGTATGTCCAGCAGATATTTGTCATGGATATTTTTAATTGGCATGTTATCTGCTATGTATTATTGCATCTCTTTGAAGGTTTAACTCATAGGGGAAGTTACTGATTTAGATGCAAGTGGGTAAGATGTATTAACAACAAAACATACTTGTTTATCTTCTAAACCTCAGTTATCCTATTTACCCTCTCTATAATTTTTACCATTTTCTTGTAAAGCCTATATTAGTCACTTCATATTTGTCTTTAAATTGATTTCACTTGATAAACTGATTTTACGGAAAACTTTATATCACTCTCATAAGTAGAAAACCTTTATCATTTGGCATAAAATGCACACTATTTTTTACAAAATCTTTATCCAAGCATCCCAACAGGAGATGCTACCACAACAGAATCTCTTCCCTCTGTCTGAAGTGTCCCCTTCTCTCTTCTTCACCAGACAAACTTCTGTTCATCCTTCAAGACCCAAATCTAAATGGCCCCTCCTCTTTGAACAGGGCCCATGGCAGTTGAACATTTAAATTGTAACTGGTCCAAACTGGGTTGAGCTGTAAGAGTAAACTGCACGACAAATATCAAAGATTCATACAAAAAAAAAAGATTATTTAAATGACTGCTGGCCGGGTGCGGTGGCTCACGCCTGTAACCCCAGCACTTTGGAAGGCCAAGGTGGGCAGATCACCTGAGATCAGGAGTTCAAGACCAGCCTGGCCAACATGGTGAAATCCTGTCTCTACTAAAAATACAAAATTAGCTGGGTGTGGTGGCACGTGCCTGTAATCCCAGCTACTCAGGAGGTTGAGGCAGGAGAATTGCTTGAACCCAGGAGGCAGAGGTTGCAGTGAGCTGAGATCATACCATTGCACTCCATCCTCGGCAAAAAAGAACAAACCTCCATCAAAAAAAAAAAAAAAAAAGTGTCACCTATTTATTTTGATGTTCTTTTTAATGTAGCTACTGAACATTTAAAATTGTGTATGCAGCTCATGTTTGTGGCTTATGTTACATCTTGATTGAAATAGACTCTGCCTTACATGCTCACTGCCCAGTGAAAAGAGTTGACCAGGGTCTCCAAAACTGCGGGATGGGGATATGCAGATATTGATTCCAAAATAGAAGAAACTAGAAAAATCCAAATGACTAAATGTTTAATTGGATGTTTGCAAAATGTGACATGCCAGCTCGTCTACTGCAATTCCACTCAGCTTGTGGGTAGTTAGATATAAACAATATTAGCATGGGGCAAAGCAAGGTCAGATTAGGGTGGGGCAAGTGTGACACCTGGGCTGCAATATTTCGGAAATGCACAATGTCAAGGTCATACAGATGCTGACCCTGCACCTGCAGGAGGCGGGGAGTGAGCGCCTCCTTTTCTTTTGCACCTCCTTAAATTTGGGGTCGTAGGGGCCCCCAAAATAAGAGGTCTGGTACCTAGAAGGCCCCTCAGGAAGAATCGGCCCCTAGACCTGTCCTTACCCGGCACACCCTCCCAGCCGTAACAGCCAACCAGCATCTCTCTTTCCTTAGCCGTGTGCCTCCCTTGCTGATGGGAGGCGCTCAGTAGTGGAGGTTCTCACACGCTCTGGCACCTCAGTCCATCCCTGGTGCAGAACCACTACCCAGTCGATGTTCATGGAAAATGGAAATGCTCCCCCACAGACCCCTTGAACCTTTTTCCATGTTGCCCAACACTCAGGAACCTTCTTTTTCAGGAGATACCGTCTGAAGGCTGAATCAGAAGCACGGCAGAACTGGCCCCAGAACTGGGGTTTTTTAACAACGCCTTTTGAAGAGGTAAATATAAATTTTATAAGCCTCGAGTTTATAGAATCAATCATTTCAAAGAATGAATGACTGCAAAGTCTATAATTTGCAAGAATGAAATTAAAGAGCATGTTGGAAAGATCGCTAACTCTGAAACCAGAAGCTTCCCGCCTTTCACAGATTTTTGAGCACTGACCGCATGCCAGGCATGTTCTACGTGCTTTGGCAGAACCGCCTGATCGAATCTGTACAAGAACCTCTGTGCAGAAACAGGTGCTGTTTTACGCCCATTTTACAAATTCAGAAACTGAACTCCAAGAACTGCAGTCACACAATTGATAAGGACCACACCCAGGTGAGAAGCTGGTGGGTCTGATGCCATGGCCATCTGACCTCAGACTTCCCATCTGTAAAGTGGGATGAGTCCTCACCTGCCTAACTGAGTGACTGTGAGTTTGCAGGTACAAGAAAGCCATGGAGATGTCGCCCGGCCAGAAGGCCAAATGACCTATGAGGGATTCTTGGGAAAATGCTGTCAGTATTCCCTAAAGATCACAAGTCCCAAAGTCTACAGGGACCAGATAGGTGACAGAAACAGGAGATAGGGCCAAGCATAATTAATCGGAAGGGGTGGGGACTCAGGCAAAGAGGCCACTGGTCCTGTCCAAAGAGGCAGCCAGCGTGAGCCCAGCCAAGTGCAACCACATGGGAAGGCCAACTGCATAGTCCCATTACTTAAGAGAGTCCAGAAAGCGAGATGTTTACATGAAATCTTCTGCATCTAGAAATGAAATGCTTATGTGGACTCCGGTGGGGTGCTTATGTGGCCACCAATCTGCAACCTCTCAAACTTCAGGACAGAACACGAGGAAGGTACATTTCTTTGGAGAGATGCAGAATTAATTAAAACACCACATCACTCAAAGCATCCATGATTCACAGCAGCATAAACCCCATTGGTAATTCATCCCACCCCACTAGCTTTGAAATTATGCCGCTCTTAATGAGGGTGTTTTTAATTCTTAGAGGGTTCTACAATTTGAAATGCTATGCATAGAATGAGTACTTATTAATATAATATGCATAGTCTATATTAATATTCCTTATATGTAATTAAATTGTGTTTCCAAAAAGCTTGACATTGCTTTAAAAATTAAAAGGGGGAGTGGAGGCTCTCCTCTAATATTTTAAAGGTTGGTCCTGAAAACATGTTGGCATTTTTGTTAGATTGTTTATTGTTGTTGTTGTTTGAGACAGGGTCTGGATCTGTCACCCAGGCTGGAGAGCATGACCTCAGCTCCCTTCAACATCCACCTCCAAGCTCAAGCCATCCTGTCACCCCGTCCCAAGTAGCTGTGACCGCAGGCACATGCCACCATGCCTGGCTACTTTTTGTATTTTTTTGTAGAGACGGGGTCTTGCTAAGTTGCCCAGGCTGGTCTTGAACTCTTGAGCTCAAGCAATCCTCCAACCTCAACCTCCCAAAGTGCTGGGATTACAAGCATGAGCCATCACACTCAACCCTTTTTGACATTTTTAAATTTGAGTCTATAACTGGCAACATTTTCTCAAATTCCCCCACAGGTGATATCAATCAGGAGGCTTCGGTGAGCAATAGGAGGGGTCGGAGACTGGTCTCGGCTTTGGGTGCAGCAGGCCTGTGTTGAGGTCCGCACCCTACTTTCCTAGTGGCGTAACTGAAACAAGCCCTTGCCTCCCGTTTCTATGCCCCAATTCTGTGCCTGCAAAATGTGCATTGTGGGGGAAGCAATGGAGAGGACACTTCCCCAGCTTCAACCTGAGGCTTCCCGTCTCTGGGGATTCTATTTCAGTTGATCAAGGGTGATGAAGAACTCCCCAGCCCAAAGCCCAAAATCGAGCTTCCTGAGCATTTCCACATCCGGCCGGTGACCCCAGTGGAGAAGTACATCAAGGTTTGAAACGTTGTTTTTAAATACTCATTTTCCTAAGTAAGAAATAAGCCCCAATGGAAACCAATGGCTCCAAGTATGCAAAGCCAGCGTTGAAGGTAAGAGCACAGCGGTGCTGGGTGCAGCGTCCGGGTCCATGCCCTTCCCAGACCCAGCTGTGGGAAACACACCAGGTAAAGTCTACACGTGTGAGCGCCATGACCTCCTGCTCTGCAGAAGCAGAGAGAAGCCAGGAAAATGGGGTCTCCCTTTTTCCTGGGAAATGTTGCATCCTTTCAGCAAACATTTCCAGGGTGTGGGCAGGAAGGCAGGGCAGGTCCAGGCAAGGGGCTCTGGAATCAGACCACCAGATCCCAGCGCTGTTAGGCTGCTCACCTCCTGTGCGGTCTTGGGCAAGTGGCTTGACCTCTCTCTCTGTGTCTCCCCTGCCTGTCTTACACAATGGGGGTTAATGGAGCATCTACTTCAGGGAGTGCCGTCAGGCACTCAGTGCTTAGCGGGGTGCCCAGCATGTTCGGAGAGTGCCAGTGACAGTCAGTTATTACTAAGGTGCAAGAGCTTGGTTGGGAAAACAGTAATGAACAAGAAAACAAGACCCCAGCCCATGTGTCTGGGTCTGGAGAACCAACATTAACCAAGAAAATCAACTCCATTTGGATATGCTGTGCCAGTGCCACAGAGGAAGCAGGCCAGCGCTGTGTCACAGGGCAAGAGAACTGAAGGATGACCGGGCACCAGCCCTAGGAAAAGTATTCTAGACACAGGGAAGAGCACGTACGAGAGCCCTGAGGTGGACACAGGCTGCTATGTTTCAGGAACGGCAAGGCAAGGCGATGTGGCTGGAGCTTAGAGAGCCTGGGTGGCTGGTGGGGCGGGTGGGGCGGGTGGGGCAGGAAGGGAAGGTGTGAGCAGAGAAGGGATGTGAGTGGAGAAGTGGGCAGGCTAGAAGAGGGAGTTGCAATTGGAGTCGAATTGACAGCAGAAGCCGCTGGAGGGTTGTAGGCAGGGCTGTGGAAGCATGAGGCCTGCCTATTGCAGCGATGGCTCCCGCTGCTAAGTGGAGAAAAGCTGGTGGGGAGAGGGGCAGGAGTGACGGGGCAAGCCCAGAGAAGAGAGGCCTTAGGCAGCGTTCCCACCTGAAGCCTCCACCGCGGTGGACACGGTCAGATCCCTCTACAAGCTATTGAGCTCCCTACGTCTGCAGGCCTGTCTCATGGGTCTGTCATTTTGGTCCGGGGTTCTGCCCTCTGTCCAGCTTTGGAGAAGGCAGTTCTGCATGCTGACCGAGAGAGCAGATGAAAATCCAAGATGAAGGCCGCAGGGCAGGGGGATTTCAGCTGCAGGCCCTTTTCCTGCCATGCCCACGGTCTGATGGGGTGGCTGGCATGCAGTGAGCATTTGGTGGGTGTGCATCTGTGAGCCCCAACACAGGAATGAATGAATGCGCTGCATTGAGTTATGGTGACAGTTTTTTCCCCGATTATAAAGCAATATAGATTCACCAGCAAAAAATATTTAGAAATACAGCAAAATATAAGCAATAAGATAATTAAAACACCCATGTAGACTCTCACCCATGATGAACATGGGGTGCTCCTTCCAGAGGTTTCCCACGCATCTCTCGACCTATAAGAGTAAGCACCCCATCAGCTTGAGTTACTATTATCTCTTAGCCACTCACTGTGCTGACTGCTTTGCATGGGCTGTCTCACCTTATTTCCACTGCGAACCCGGATATTATCACCCGCAAACCCATTTTGCAGATGGGAAAACTGAAGCTTAAAAAAAAAGTTGAATTCCTTTCCCAGGCCACACAGCAAGTGTGTCTGATTCCAGAGTTCTGCTCTTAAATATCAAGCTCACCTATTCCTCAAATGTATGTCCATGTGTATATATACACACCTGTGCACACACACACACATATATTTTTCAAATATATGTCTACAAATCAAACTGCACAGGCTGCTTTGTAGTCTCATTTTTTCACTTAACAACATATGCTGTACATCCTCCCATGAGGTTAAGAAAAGCACTCCAAACCACTGTCATATGAATGGCTGCATCTTTCTCCACTGAGTGGATCTGTCTTAATGTATTGAACCGTCCCCCTATCCCTGGGCATCGAAGTTGTAGCTAGCATGGGATTTAGGAGAATAGCACTGCAAGGAGCACCCTTGTAGACACAGCAGTTAGCTCCGGGTCAGTAATTTTCTTGGAATTAGTGCCTAGAAAAGTGATTGTTCAGATGAAATGCACATTTAGGGAGCTCAACCTCCTGTGGCCTAGAACCCTGGGCTGGCTGGAGAACAGAGGAAGAGAGGCTGGCACATGAGTCTGACGTTTTTTCCAGAGCTGTGTTTTAATTCTGCCAACCTCCACCCCAGGGGAGAATACAGTGGCGCGGGTCCTGCTTAGGGTCAGTAGTGTCCCTTGGCTACATGCTGTCTCCACAGTACCTGGCCTGCCCATGAGATCGGACCCTCCCTCTGCCACCAGCGCCACTGGGGCTGCTCTGTGCAACCACAACTATTCCTTTGTCAAAGAAAGTGCCCCGCCTAGATACCAGAGAGGTGCCCCTCCTGGAGGACGGGAAACAGAGAGGAACTGTCCAGGCACCAGAACAAACTGAAACATGGTTTTCTCCTGTGAGAGGCTCCTGTCTAGGAGCAAGGGCCAGCTATTAAAGTCACACTCACCAGACAGAGCCTGTGGGGTGGCAGGGGTGAGGACAAGGACCTTGATTCAGGTGAGAAAATTCCCCAGCCTCTGCTTCCCTCCAAACTTCCTTCCTTGCCCAAGACATGGTGACTGGCTTCCTTCTTCCAACTTCCCATCCTCTCATTGGTGACCAGGGCCTTTAAAAATATATTTATTTTTAATAGGTAACCTTGATACCTAAAAAGGCACGTGATGAGATGCCTCCTTTCCTCTGGAACCCTGGAGCCACTGTCACCAATTTGTCACGCACTCTTGCATAGACTAGGACATTCACGGGCCTCTGGCCTCATTTTCTTATCACACAGCCTGCACCGTACTTTGAATAGTTTGTGCATCTCTTTTCTCCTGGAAGTTTATCTCATCCTTCTAAACCATTGCATGGTTACCATGGTGTGGATGGGCCATAGTGAATGAGCCTCCATGGGTGAATATGTAGCTTATGCCCAATCATTTGCTATTACAAACAGCTCTGCAAGGCATCCCTTGCACCACCATGAATGTGTACATGTGTAGCTATCAGGATCTTAGAATGAATGACTCAGAATAGATTGTTGGATCGAAGGGTGTTTGCATCTGCACTTTCAAAAAATAATTGCCAGGCCGGGCACGTTGGCTCATGCTTGTAATCCCAGCACTTAGGGAGGCCAAGGCTGGTGGATCATCTGATGGCTGGAGTTCGAGATCAACCTGGCCAACCTGGTAAACCCCATCTCTACTAAAAATACAAAAATTAGCCTGGTGCAGTGGCACGTGCCTATAGTCCCAGCTACTCAGGAGGCTGAGACAGGAGAATCGCTCGAACCCAGGAGGCAGAGGTTGCAGTGAGCTGAGATCACACCATTGCACTCTAGCCTGGGTGATGACGGGGCAAGAGTCCGTCTCAAAAAAGAAAAAAAAAGATAATTGCCATATTGCCCTTACTCCTATAATGCCCGTGTTAATGGTGCTGTTTTCATCTTTTTGTCCCTCTGCTGGGTGAAATATGATGTCTCATGGTGAATTTCAACTGCATTTCTTTTACAAGTTAGATGAAGACTTGGAAGTTAGTCTGTGTGCTCCCAAAGGCCTGGCTGGACAAACAGCATTGAGGGCTGCTCCCCTTCTGAACAATTCTGCCTGTAGCTGGTTCGAGGAAGCTTTGGCCCCTGTGGCATTCATTGATGACCCGCCCTACATGTAGCCTTGCAGGAGACTAATTTCAGGAGTTCATCAAGAACATATGTTAAGGGGCTTCATTCACCACCAGCAGCAGCCAGCCCACTCGGGGCCTTCTCCCGCTGCCACTGCCTCACCAGCAGGTTCCATTAGTAAGAGTGAACTCATAACCCCAAGCATATTAAACCTCTTCATCTCAGTTCTCCTGCTAGAACAAATATCCCGCACTGTGGCCTTTGTTCACATCCCCTTATAAGAGCAGAACAGATCATTTCAAAAGAAGGGGAAATCCTGCCTAAACATTTACCCTCATTTTCCAAAAATGTCAAATCTGTCCAAGGAATTGACAAATGAAGTTGTGTTTTTTCACTCCAGATAGATGCCCATTTTCCTTTTGGTTTTTAAAATTAAATTCAGTTGCTTTTCATTCCTGTGATCTCCACGGTTTGCAGTGTGTATGTATATACACAGACATACTGTAGAGCCTTCTCATCAAAACAGGATGAGGCACACCTGCCACAATGCCATCTGACAATAGTGCCATGTATTTTATAAAGGGCAGTGAGAGTTGTAGCACTTGATATTTCTGCATCTTATTTTTTTTTTTTTTTTTTTTTTTTTTTTTTTTTTTTTTTTTTTTTTTTTTTGCTTTCTTGCCAAAAAATGATTTTGCTAGAGGTCATGAATTAAATATGTTAGCCATTACAAGATAAAGAAAAGCGTTTGATGTTCATCACTTCCAGGAAAGATGATATGCACCTCCGAGTCCACTTTATTGGAACGTGCTTGTTTTCAGTATGCATCAGGGAGGCTGGCTCTTCCTTCTGTCTTTTCCACCCCTGCCTCACATGCTGATGCTGGGTGCCTAGTGTCTCTGTGTCCCAAGGTCACTAAACCCCCTGCATTTCCATTCCAGATCCTTCCATCTCCACCAGTCCCACAGACCACCCAGGGCTTCATCGGCTGGAGATCCGCAGTGCCAGGCCTGAACAAGTGCCTGGAGCTGGACGATGAGATCAGAAGCTGCAAAGGGGCATTTGCACGAGAGCTGTGCTGGCCTAAGCAGGGCGTGCACTGAGTCCAGACGGAGCTTCCAACCCAGGGTGCTGCATGTCGGTCGCCAGGCACCCAGGGCCATGCCAGGGAAAGGGAAATCTCTCCTGAATCCCCAAGGACACAGTCCTCTACGGATTTGCTCATGGGATGTTGCAAAGAACACAAAGTGTGCCTTAGACATTCTCAACCCATCAGTCTCGCCCTTCCAGAATGTTCACGTCCACTCCCATTCTTGGCTAATGTAATAAATAAGGCTTCTCTCATTTGTTTTTAATACCTTGGGAATTTCTATGCAGGGCTTTAAAAAAAAAAAGTGATTCCATTTTAAAAATATTTGTCTAGGTCCTTTAATGTAGCTTTCAATTGTACTCATCACTATCCTTATTTATAATGAATTTGTTGATCAGGTGTTTCTGTATCCAGATATCCCTGGGCCTGTATTTCGAGAAGAATCCCTGAGATCTCCTTGCTCAAGATATTCACGATAAGTTAACAGCTTTAAAGGCAGAAATTAGCCCAAGATTTGCTACTAGGCGTAGATTTCAAGGAGAAAATGGGCTTCCCAAGACCTCTAAGAAACCAACCGCTGGTGACTTGTCCCAGCCACCCCCAGCCCAGCACAGAAAGCTCCAGGCTGGCCAACTGGGCCATTTTCCTTCCCCCAAAACATCAACCCTACAGTTATCATTTTCTTTCTGAATGTTGCCTAGCTGTCTCTCTTCTCCTAGTCCTACAAATGGGGGCTGGGGGCATGCAGTGTCCAGCTGGCAAGAAGAAAAAGCCAGAATGTCCTCAGTACTCATGAACTGGACCCCAAAAAGTAGGAGAGCAGAGTTTGCAGCAGCCTGTGGCAGCTGGTTTGTATTTCATTTCTGAGGAGTAAGGGGTTGGTGCGCTCTTCAGACCTGGCATAGACAGGGCAGGAGGGGTATGTTCAGTTACCCACCCTCCACGGAGGCACAGGCCTTCCTCCCCTTTGTTGGTCAAGACTCACTGTTCCTGGGACTGGGGCCCAAGGGGACTTCCATTGGGTGGGACCCATTTACAAGGCCCATCCACCCAAACACGTCCTGTTCACCTTCCCCCCCAGCCATGGATGGGTGTGCTGGAGCCAACCCAGGAATCCCTCCACTAAGTCCTCTGAGAATCTAACTCCTCTAAGCCCTGAACACTGGCTGCCACCCCTCTGGCATGTTCCTAAAGGGACTCCATGATTTGAGGGGCACTAAATACTAGGGGACAGCTGGGACCCCAAATCTCAGAAGCCCCAGCAGAAGAGCTGCTCTTATTCAGGGACTCTGTTCTCTATAAAAACTACCAGCCTTCCTCTTTCCAAGGGTCTGGCTGCAGACACCAACTACTCTGTGCTGAGAACAGAGCCACATAGCAGAAGCCTTCCCCCAGCCACTTAGATGATTCCCCATCTCTCCACACCCCTTCTTCAACCCCAGAGTGGGAAACTCCTAGGTCAGCATGGGCTGCCCAGCCTGGAAGAGCTGAGACCCAAGAGAACAACCCTTCAAAGAGTATTTGGTTGAACTGTGTCCCCCAGAAAGATATGTTGACGTCCTAGCCTCCAGTATCCACAGAGATGAACTTAGCTGGAAATAAGGTCATGGCAGATGTGATTAGTTAGATGAAGAGGCGTCATATAGGAGAAGGGTGGACTCTTAATCCATGTGACCCATGTCCTCATGAGGAAAGAGTGACGTGCAGGGAGGACACGCCATGCGGAAAGGCAGACATGCGGGAGAGGTCACCATGCCATAGCAGAGCAGAAATGGGAGGGATGCACCTACCCACCACAGGATGCCAACATTTGCAGGCAAACCACGAGAAACTAGGAAGGCGTCAGGAAGGATTCTACCCCATAGATTTCAGAGGGTGCATGGCCATGCTGATGCCTTGACTTCAGACTTCTGGGCCCCAGAACAGAGAGAAAACATGTCTGTTGCTTTATGCTGCCCCATGTGGGGTACTAGGTACCGCAGCCCCAGGAAATGAATATTGCCTTGAACACAGGCTGCCTCCTCCTCTCCTCCCCTACTCAGAAAACATCCCCCTCTGACCATGTGTCTTTCATTGGTCTTGATCCGGGCTGTGTCTATAAGAGACCAGACCACGTGGCCCCTCAGACTCCAAAGATGTTTCCAATCACCCAGAGGTTTTAGCCTGATATAGACTAAACAACTGAATGCTTGGCCACGCCTGCCCTTATTAAATCCCAATGTTTTGGCATCCGAGTTGTCACTGCAGGCAAAGCATCTGCCCTTAGAGGAACATCTGTCCTTGTGATCAGACACCTCCACCACAGTCAGGCAGTGGCCAGAAAGCGTGATTGCTTGGTACTGATCTCCATCTCAGCTGCATTTCTGCCCCATTGCCACAGCAGAGACAATACCCACCCTGGTGGGGGATGAACTTCCAATGGCAGGTTGTCATTTGTTCTAATTCTCGATCACAGAACAAATCTAGGAGTCATCGTCCATGTCATCTGCATGCCCACAACAGGTGGCAGCAAAAATCTAGCACAAAAGGTGGGCTCCCTTACCCTGTCCTCACCCCTAGCCTGGACAGGAAATCAACATGTCCATTTTTACTCTTCTGAAACTTGGGGGTGAATTAACTTTCACCCTGGTTTCCACTGTCTGGTGTATGTTGGCCAACAGCCCTCTCTTTTAGGGAGACTGGTCAGCAGATATAGCTGGTGGAGATGATTACAGTGGAGCTGAGAAGGCCACGCCACTGTGTGGACAGCTGAGCCTGCAGAAGGACCAGAAATCCCAGTGAGGAAGGCCTCTGAGGCTGGCCTCATACCTCCTGGCCACAGTGCACCAGTGGAGGAAATGGGTACGGTGTACCATGTTGGATCCATTTAACTCCAGTTCCTTGTGAGGACAAAAATTCAAAAGACTCAGATCAAAGTCTGAAGACACGTATGTTCTCTGGACAATCAGAAGGTGAATATCTTTCAATAGCTTGGGAATTATTTGATGCTTTTTTTGTTACCCTTCAATTTAAATGAAGCTCACTCCAAATTTATGTGCATGTGTTTAAAACTATTCCTACTTAAGTAGGAGTCACCAACTAACCACATATGTGCTTGCATTTAAAGAAATAAAAACAAGCAACATTTCTGCAGGTATCAAACTCCCATGCCATGGTCCTCCCTACTGACACTTCCCCCTGGACTCACAGAATGACCTTTAGGCATTAAGCGATTTGGGCTGCACTTGTGAGTTTGTAACGGAGCACAAATGTCCAGTCAACAGCCCCAGTTGAGAATCTAAGTGGACAACATTCAAGGATTCAATTACCCTGGATGGCTTCAAACTTGACATTTAATCTATGGAAATCAACCTCTTTGTGGGTGTCCAAATGGGCCCATAAATGTCACCACACACTGTAAAATACCACAACATTTCCAAGGTCAAGACAAGGCTGGTGAACCTGCATCCGCGATGCCGAAATACATCACAGCAATGAACCACCAGACGGGCCTCGGTCAAAATGAACCATCTCTGAAATGATGCAAAACATAATTAGGCTGGGGACTCAGAATGGATTCTGTCACAAGCACATTTCAGCCCAAGACAAATTAGAAACTCCTAAGTTTGAGTTAGAAGAAAATGACATGATCAACTATAAAATTTTGGAAAACACACTCTTGCTCTTAAATATCGACCCACACCTGAGAATCACTGTCATGATGGACTCCGGGTTTTTGGTACCCAAAGCCTGAGACAAGATTGTTGGGGAATTTATAATTTTGTATGTTTTAGAAACTGCATATGCTATATATTATACATAAGCCCTCTGGCAAGGTCTGAGGCAGCCCCTTGAAATGAAATCCATTAATATTTTTATAGCTAGACTTACGCATATTCACACTCAGTGAAATAAAGCCTCAAAGGAGCCACATATGAGTTTGTTCAGGTTTTGTCAAAAAAGTGAGTCTTGGTTTCAAACTAATAAGAATATTTCTAGGTTTTAGAGCACTTTGTAATTCAAAACTGATAAGAGATTTGGGACATATAATGTCATCAAGAGAAAATGCTGTAAGGATGGTTCTTTAGATCTGCTTTAGTTATGAACTTGGATCAGGACTCTCTTGGTTTTAAGAGGAAGAAACTCAACCCCTAGCCTAAGTACATAAGGAATGTTTTTCCTCACGTAACTAGAAAGCTCAAAAGTAGGTCTGCTTTCAGACACAGCTTGATCAGGGATTCAAACAATATTACCAAGACCCAGGATGTTTCTGCTTCAAGTTCCTTCAGGTTGGTCTATCTGACTGCTTTCAACTGCAAGTAACATGGCCCAGCATTGCTAAAATGATAAGGCAATTTATTGGATCACAGAGAGGGGGCCCAGAGGTAGACCAAGCATGAGGGCTAGTCTAGTAACTCAAAGTGAGCAAGGATCTGCATGCTTTTAACCTCCTCTCTCCACTGTGCCACTTACAGTGCCAGCCTCATCCGAAGGCTGGCTTTCTTCCTGGCTGTAGGATGGGCACCTTCAGCAGCCCAGGGCACAGGCTTTCTTGCTCACCTCTGGCAATAAAAAAAAGGGAGGGGTTTCCCACTCAACTCCTCTGGGGTGTCATTGGCCAGAAAAGAATCATGTCCTCATTCCTGAGTAAATCACAGCTTTAGCTCCCTTGGGCCAAACAAGACAAGCCCTTCCCACACTGCACTGTGACTCTGCAGTAGGAGGCAGTGGCGCGTCTACCGTCACTCACGTGCCTCATGGTCACAAAGGCTGCAGCAGCTCCCCACTTCTCTCTTGCTTTCAGCTTCAAGTAGGGCAGGAAGAATGCCCAGAGGCTGTTTCTCAGGATTCCCAACAAAAGTCTCATTGATTCCAGTTGGGTTACATGTCCCTTCCTGAATCCATCAGTGTCACCCAAGAAATGAAGTTCACTGATTGGCTTCATCCTTGGCTGCACCCTGACATGGAGTAGGCCACAGCACACCGGGCACATAAGTCAAACCACAGGAAGACATCTCCCCAGGTGGAAGCCTGGAGGTGGTTCCCAAAACTAAGGAGAATGGAAGCTGCATGGTAAAGACAGTTCACAAAGCAAGCACCGGCTACAGAGCCTGAAAATGAAGTTTTCAGGACCTCGTGTTTAGTTGTAATTATCAGATAGCTTCAATTCACTTTGGCCAACGTGGCAGGCAGCCTCTGAGATGGCCCCAGGATCCTCACCTCCTGATATTCACACCCTTGGGTAGTCCATGCCCCTTGAGGGTGGGGGGGATGTAGTGATTCCTTTCTATAAATAGAATATGTCAAAAGTGATAGGTTGTCCTTTCCCAGATTAGGTTACAACAAAAGACTGACTT